TGATCCCAAATCATAAAATGGCTAGGATACGTTAGTAGATCTTTCCTCTTTTCATAAAGCAAGGACTGTATACACTGTATAAAAACAGTAACCTGCTTTTAAGGACTTCTTTCCAAAATCAATGTTATTTTTTTAAAAAAATCCTTTTATAATTAAAAATTGTTTTTTTATTCATTTAAAATTTCACCTGAAAATTAGATTAGTAAAAGCAGTTTCTTCACTAGAAAAATTTAATACTTTAGGCATCAGTGACCTCATGTGACTCCTACTTGGAGAGAGAGGTCTGTGCATGTGGGAAGTATTTCTAAGTGTTAAGGTTTTGTTTTGTTTGCAAGTGTGATCAGTTTGTAGCTTTTATGTAGGGTTCTTGAAAGAAAGTCAATGAATAAGAAAAGATTACATATGTTTCCTAACTTTTTATTTCATCAGACGCACAAGACCCATATATAGCCATAATTGTAAAAATAAAACATGACATTTAAAACATTAAGTAGCAATATTTTTAAAGGCAAAAAGATGTGATTCCTTGGTAAAAAAAAATGCCTGGACTATTGTGGGATATTGTTGAATATGAAGTAGCTTTTGCCAACAGCAACCCACCATTTTTCTTTTACCAATGACAGGTGACTGGGTCTGGGTCTTTTTTCCTCACTCCTTCTGATCCCTCCTCTCTGGGTGCACCTTGCTGTGTGCTTTGTGTGTTGGCATCACATTTGTTTACACACTCATATGACCCTATGTGTGCATTTCTTTTATACCTCTTGAGGTCTTAATATATTCATTTGTTCCTTCCCTTTGCTGTTTCATGTTTCTCTTTGTTCTTAAAATTTTATTTACATATCTCCTCTTACAGCTCTTTATCTTATTCTTTCCTTCTAATATACTGTACAATTTAATTATATTCTTCACTATGCCTCACATTTTTCCATAGGAATGTATATTTACCTCATTTGCATTGAATATGAACTGGATCCTTCTTTTAAAATATATATATTGTCTGGAACGCTACGGATTAAATCTGTCTCTCAAAACCCATGTGTTGGAAACTTAATCTCCAATGCCACAATGTTGGGAGATGGAGGGAGTCTTATAATAGGTGATTATAGGGGCCGGTGTGTGGTGTAGCAGGTAAAACTGCAATACTGGCTTCCCATACAGGTGCCATACAGGTGCCAGTTCAAGTCCCAGCTGCTCTACTTCCAATCTGGCTTCCTGCTAATGTGCCTGGGAAAGCAGCAGAAGATGGCCTGGGTACTTGGAGCTCTGTACCCGTGTAGGCAAACTGGAGGAAGCTCCTGGCTCCCGGCTTCAGATCAGCCCAGCTCTGTCCATTGTAGCCATTTGGGGAGTGAACATGTGGATGGAAGATCTCTCTCTTTCTCTCTCTCTCTCTCTCTCTCTCTCTCTCTAACTCTGCTTTTCAAATAATAAATAAATCTTTAAAAAATAAATAAGAGGTGATTACATCATGACATTATGCCTTGTTTGAATGAATTAATGTTTTATCGGAGGAGTGGGCTACTTGTTTTGAGAGTGTATTTGTTAGAAAGGCCAGTTCAGCTGTCTCTGCCCTTCCACCTGCTACCGTGGGTTGATGCAGCATAAAGGCCCTTGTCAGGTGCCAGGGCCGTTCCTGGACTTTCCAGCCTCCATGACCAGGAGCCAAATACATCTCTGTTCTTTATAAATCACCCAATCTCAGGACTCTGCTGTAGCAGCAGCACAAAATGGACTAAGGCAGGAGTGGGAAATATGTTTCCTCTTTTTTAATTTAATTCTGGATACCATTTTCTATGATGCATAGAACTTGATGTGTCCAAAAAAACAAATGGCCCATTCATTACCTGGCTGTTCTAAAGGTTCAAAATCATAACAGATGTATAAAGTAAGAACATGTAAGAGGAAAATAAAAGTGATATTTAAATTATTATTTGAATTTCTGAAGTTCTGTATAAAATATACTTGTGCTTGGCCTATTTCTCCTGTGAATAGAAAATATTTCGGGGCCGGCGCCGTGGCGCAGTAGGTTAATCCTCCACCTGTGGCGCCCGTTCTAGTCCCTGCTGTTCCTCATCCAATCCAGCTCTCTGCTATGGCCTGGGAAAGCAGTAGAAGATTGTCTAAGTCCTTGGGCCTCTGCACCCACGTGGGAGACTGAAAGAAGCACTTGGCTCCTGGCTTCGGATCAGCGCAGCTCCGGCTGTTGCGGCCATTTGGAGAGTGAACCAATGGAGGGAAGACCTTTCTCTCTGTCTCTTCCTCTCACTGTCTGTAACTCTACCTCTCAAATAAATAAATAAATAAAATCTTAAAAAAAAAAGAAAAGATTTCAACAATTACCTGCTGAGGTCATCACTTTGGCATGACTCATTCTGGAAAAATTTTGAAAAATATTAATAATAACTAAGCAAAGGAAAAATTATTAGTTACATAGCCTATGAAATATATTCATTTTATCATAACTAAAACACATAAAATTTTCCAATAACTGGAAAAAGACATACTCCTTTAACAATGTGAAGCAAAATAAAAAGTATTCATAATCTACCACTTTTGACTCATTTTATCTCTTTGCTATTGCCTGATCTTCATCACCATTTATCTTAAATATTTAAGATAAGAAATTATTATAGGGGCCGGCACTGTGGCACAGTGGGTTAATGCCCTGGTCTGAGGCACCAGCATCCCATATGGAAGCCAGTTTGAGACCCGGCTGCTCCACTTCTGATCCTGCTCTCTGCTGTGGCCTGGAATGGCAATGGACGATGGCCCAGGTCCTTGGGTCCCTGCACCCATGTCAGGAACTCAGAGGAGGCTCCTGACTCCTGGATTCTGATTGGGGCGGCTCTGGCTGTTGCAGCCATCTGGGGCGTGAACCATTGGATGGAAGACCTCTCTCTCTCTCTCTGCCTCTCCTCTGTGTAACTCTGACTTTCAAATAAATAAATAAATAAAAATTATTACATTAAGTGTGCCATTTATGTATTATTTAAAACAAAAGTTAAATGTATAAAGTTTATTTTGTATAGATTTCTTTAATTAAAATAAAGATATTTTTAGATTCAATAACAGAATATTTTCAAAATTTTTTTCCATGAATGTCATGAAACACACAGATTCTAGTCTTTCAGTCCTGAAATGTAAAAGATTCCTAAAATGTAAGCAAAATGGGATTCAGAATTCATAAAATTCGTGAATGGTTACTATTTCTCATCACTTATTTTTTTTTAGAGATTTTGTTTATTTATTTGAGAGGTAGAGTTACAAACAGTGAGAGTGAGAGAGAAAAGTCTTCCCTCCGTTGGTATACTCCCCAAATGGCCACAATGGCCGGAGCCGCACCCATCCGAAGCCAGGAGCCAGGAGCTTCTTCCTGGTCTCAAATGTGGGTGCAGGGCCAAGCACTTAGGCCATCCTCCACTGCTTTCCCGGGCTACAGCAGATAGCTGGATTGGATGAGGAGCAGCTGGGACTAGAACTGGTGCCAATATGGGATGCTGGCACCGCAGGCGGAGGATTAACCTGCTCTGCCACGGCGCCAACCTGCTTATCACTTATTCTATCTCTAAGATATTGACAGGTCTCTACAAATCCTATCCAGTAAGAATAAAGGAGAATCCCGTATAAGTGTAGAGCAGTAGCAGTGACCACTTAACTCTCAGTTAACAACAATTTTGGTTTTTCTTTTAGCATTGCAAAAAGATTCTGAATGTCCCTATGATGACATGGGCATCTGTGTCTTTCTACTTTCCTCTAGAGTCAAAAGTAAACAGCAATTTGATTATTCATTTGTACTATTTGCATTTTTTTCATTTCCATTTACATACAGTATCAAGGTTAATGTAACTCAGGGCATGACTTCTCTCTGAAGAGTTGATTCATAGTTAATAGCACAAGGGAGGAAATTTAATCTTTGGGTCACTAAACACTATCAAGAGCCTAGATCAATTTTCCATTCACAAGCTTTGTTTTAGAAGAATGCAAAGCTCATGTTAGAGTCGGATGAAGAAGTCTGGGACATACACACGTGGACTTAGAGTCCAACAGATGGACTTTTCTTGAAATAACTTCATTAGTTAATCATTTCTTTCACGTGTAGTTTCTTTAATTGGCCTAGCTGCCAGCTGGGGCTGTTAAGGATCCTCTAAAGAATTGATAGGTAGGGAGAAAATCCAATAATATTAGCAATTCTAAGATGAAACCTCTATCACTTCCACACTATTGATTATGTATTGTAAAAGTAAAACATTTTTGTTAAATTTCCCCTCATTATTTTTTAAAGTTTATTAATTTGTTTTCATTTATTTGAAAGGCAAAATGACATGAGAGAGAGAGGAAGAGAGATATCTTCCACCTGCAGATTTACTCCCCAAATACCCACAACAGCCAGGACTATGCCAGGCCAAAGCCATGAACACAGAACTCCATCTAGAGTTCCCACATGAGTGGCAGAGACCACAGGACTTGAGCCATCACCTGCTGCCTTCCAGGGTGTGCACTAGCAGGAAGGTAGACTGGAAGTGCAGTGGGGCTCAAACCCAAGCCACTCTACTATGGGATGTGGTTATTCCATGCAATGTTTTAACCCATTCTGTTACAGTACACACCATTTTTGTCCCTTACTCTAAAAATCTTGCTTGATCTCTGTGAAAACCAAATTAATCATGTAAAAGACACTTAAAATTAAATTATTTAGAACTCAGGATTTCCCAACCTAAGCACTGTTGACATTATAGACAATATAATGTTTTTGTTTTTTTTTTTTTCCTTTTGGTAGCATGCTGTCTTGTTCCTTGTAGGTTAACAAGGATCAAACAGCGTCCTCCCCCTCTACCCAATAGATGCCAATAACACTTTCAGTTATGACAAGGAATAATGTTACAAGACATTGACAAATCACCCTGGGGGTGAAGTAGCCCTGAGAACAACTGCTCTAGAAATAAGTTGTTTCTGATTTTTAACTCAATTCTTAAAATAATTTGAAAATAATCTTATGTATCTATGTAACTCCAGACCTGCCAGACATATGAGAAACTTCTCTCTTTTGGTTCTCTAAATGAAACAATTTGAGAAGAATGACTTCAGAAGCTTATGTTTTCATATATCGCTCTGTGTAAAGGGGGATGAAAAGGATGAGTGATTTATAACTATCAATAAAGGTTAATTATCTAAGAATGCCATCAACTTCGTCATCACAACTTATGGAGGATCTCTTCAAGGAAAACTCTCATTTTGAATATGAATCATTTGAGATGTAAATAATTAGTTATCATCATAAATGACTAGGGAATTTTTAAATTTTATTTATTCATTTGAAAGAGAGAGAGGGAGAGACAGAAGGAGAAATCTTCCATCTGCTGGTTCATCCCCTAGGATGGCTGCAATGGCTTGGACTGGGCCAGGCTGAAGTCAGGAGTCAGCACCTTCTTGCAGGTCTCCCAGATGGGTGGCAGGGGTCCAAGCACATGGGCCCTCTTCCCCTGCTCTTCCCAGACCATTAGGAGGGAGCTGGATCGAAAGTGGAACAGCCAGGACAGGATCCATACAGGATGGCAGCATTAGGTGGCAGCTTTTACCCACTAGGCCACAATACCAGCCCTGACCAAGGCATTTTTAGATAAGGGACAGTAGTGAAATTAAATGAAATGGACACAGTGAAAATGAATCCAGATCTATTTTGACTTTACCATATACTTGTGAAGTGATTTGAGGCTAATAAAAGGTCCAGTGATTCAGATAGAGAAAATTTCTAGGGCTTGGAAATTCAGTGGTAAAAAATAATATTCGGGCTGGCGCCGTGGCTCAGTAGGCTAATCCTCCGCCTAGTGGCGCCGGCACACTAGGTTCTAGTCCCGGTCGGGGCGCTGGATTCTGTCCCGGTTGCCCCTCTTCCAGGCCAGCTCTCTGCTGTGGCCAGGGAGGGCAGTGGAGGATGGCCCAAGTGCTTGGGCCCTGCACCTGCATGGGAGACCAGGAAAAGCACCTGGCTCCTGGTTTCGGATCAGCGCGGTGCACAGGCCACAGCGGCCATTGGAGGGTGAACCAGCGGTAAAGGAAGACCTTTCTCCCTGTCTCTCTCTCTCACTGTCCACTCTGCCTGTCAAAAAAATATATATATATTCGCCACCTCAATTTTCCTGTTATTTGTGGATGGGTCTATGAAGAGCGCCTTAGAGTAAGAGTGAATTATGATGAGTTTTAGAAGAGAAACAATGAACTTATTCTGATCTGCAGAGGTAAGAATATAGTAACATGAATGCAGAAAGAATCCTTAATTATGTTTTTAAGTCCTAAAGGCTATCCTGTTCAAATTGCTTTCTTTCCAACAACGTTTCTAATACAGGTTAGCACAAGCAGTCTTTTCATATAAAATAAGTCTTAACATTTAGCAAGCGTGTGTTTGGAAGTCTGAAACTGTTCCTGCCTGGCCAGTCGAGGTGTTCACCAAACAAGTCCATGGCAGACTCTGTTTCCTGTTGGACCTTCCAGGGCCATTGTAGGTCATTATAAAAATTAAAGAATAAGAAAGGAAGGGGGTGGGAGGCAGTGATGGAGCAAGGACTAAAAGCCTCAGGTCCACATTGACCTATCACCTATAAAACATGGAACAGGCCTCCATTTCTCTGACCAGCCCTGCCTGGACTGCTGGACACACCACTATCTGAAGAGCCCAGCCACCGGCCTGAGCTCTCCCCACACCTGCCAGTCTCTCTCCCCCAACTCAGCAGCTCTGCCTCAGAGTCCAGTCACTGCCTCTGCCCAAACCCCTCCCGGCTCACAGCGTTATCTCGCAGGACCTTTCAAACTAGCCCAAGCTCTCCCTCCATCTGGGTAGCACAGACCCCCAAGCCTCTTCCCACCGCTTTGTACTAGATGAACCGCTAGTCTGTAAGGGAAGGCGCTTTTTCTCAGCGGGTGTTCACCTGGGAGTGAGCCCCTCCCAGGTTTTCGGCTTCTGAGTAAGCCTGGTCTGGCTGTGGCTGCATACTCTATCTTTTCTTTCCTTGACAGGCATGAGGGAGGACAGGGTGGGGCATATCACTAGGCTCCTAAATCTCTATATCCAGTTCATGAAATTAGTTCACCTTAAAAATAAATACAGAATTTAGATTGTGCACTTTATTACTTTAATTCACTCTTCCTCCTAAGGTATGCTATCGTGGAAACTGTGCAGAGTGCACAATTGTGCAGAGTCCACTGCTTTGTTTCTCAAAGGTTACACACTCTGCACTGGGCGCAGGATCTGGTTGGGTCAGGGCCGCCCTCTGGCCCCCCCGGGCCGGCCGGGCGTGCGCACTTACTCTCTGCGGGCTCCTTGGAGCGCCGGCCGCTGGACGACTTCCTCAGTAGGCTGCGTCCCGAGGTAAAGAGGCTCGTGAGCTCTTCCAGCGGGCTCGTGGGCGTTCGCGAGCGGGAGCCGCCGGGGGCCGCCCCGTGCGCGCTCACTGCCGCGCTGACCATCTTGGCCCCGTCCTGCGACAGGGGCCTCGGGGTCGAATGAGGCACTGAGGGGGAGCTCCGGGAGAGGCTGCCCGAATGCACGGCGTCGTAGGGGGGCGGCCTTTTGAGGCTGAGGGGCGTCAGGGACCTGCCCATGCTGACCGGCGAGGGCGAGGTGGAGTGGCTTTTAGGGTAGCCGTGGGGAGACTGGGTTCGGTAGAGCGTGGACGGGGGCGGAGGGGACGAGGAGAGCACGGAGGTGGCCGAAGCGGGTCCGAGCGCTGCGCCCGGGTCTTTGTCCGGTTTGGGGTGTCCCGAGGCGTGCGGCGGCACGGAGGACGGCGACGCCCCGGCCGGCTGCTTCAGGTAGGACACGTTTTCCAGCACTGGGAGCTTGGTGACCTCCAGGGGCGTCAGCGGGGACTCGTCGGAGTTGGGGGAGCAGTGCACGGGCGCGGGCGGGAACACCAGCAGCGGGGGCCTGTGCGACAGCAAGTTGGGGAAGGGCGGCGGGATGTCACAGAGCAAACCCTTGGGCGTGCATGGCACTGAGGACTTGGCGAAGTCCAAGTCAGGCACCGTGGGAGTAGCACACTGCGAAGAACAGCTGTGATGGTCGAAGTCGCACTTGGCGTCTTGGCCCAGGTCGTCGAAGATGGGGTATTTCATCTCCTCGTAGACGGCCTCGCTCTGGTCGTCGTCCTCTTTCCTGAAGTCTCTGAGGATGTTCCCCACCATCTCGATGTACACGGGCTCCTCTTCCTCCGGGTCTCCCGCGGGGCTGCTCACCTGCGACAGGGACGCGTCCCGCGTGAGCGACGTCCTCCGCGGCCCGTGCTTCCTGATGTACGTCTCGTCGAAGGAGGTGCTGAGCTGAGTGTTGGGGTTCCGTTTGGGTTTCGGGGGAGGGATCTTCTTTGAGTATTCGTCGCTGTGGGGTCTTGGTTTAGTTGACACTGAAAGAAGAAAAAGTAGAGTAAAATAGGTGAGAATAAATAGGAAAAGTTTATAGTAAAATAGATGAGGGTAATAGGAAAACTTTTAAAAAAATGTTTTGCTGAAAAGAGCAGTGAGCTTTATTTCTACCTTGAGGCTTAGGTGAAAAATCCACCAGACGCAAGCATTTCTCATGTTTAGAAAAATCTGATGATAGAATGATAGTGATTCTTATCTTCGACCTCATATTAATAATCCCACACTGATAAAAGCATTAAAAGTCGGGCTATTCATCCCTAGGCCTTAGAATTTCTAAATAGAAACTTCGAGATGAAACATGCCAGATAAAAACCATCACATATTTTATTAAAAATTAACTTGCAGGAACTAAGTGAGAAAGAAACTCAGGAGAAAAAAAAAATATCTAGAGAGTCTGTTAGTACAAATGGCCACCATAGAAATCTAGCCCTTTTACTGATAGCGTTAGTACACAGGGAGAACATTTTGCTTCCATTTAGGATAAAAACTTTTTTAGACTTATTTAATCTCTATCTTAGTTCAAATAAATAAATAGCTTCTGTACAGATGGGACTGATATTACAGGGGAAATTGATGTGAAAATCTTCTGAGGCTAGACAGTTGAATCTCCAGGTATTGTTGATTATGGGGTATTTGTCTGTTTTTGTTCATAAGATCTTTTATGATATCCCGAATGTGGTCTTGCGATGAATTTATTAGATATGTTCCGCTGACACATCAGCAACTCTTGCGAGTTTTCAGAGACTTACCTAGGGAATTATGTGTACCTTTCAAGAATAACTTCTGGAAATACATGATAGACATGTGAGCCATCGCATCCCACTGGCTGCTGTCAAACATCTGTGGCTGAAACCAATTTTTCAACATGCATGGAAAGTATGGGAGTATTATCTCATTATTTCATTTATCGCCATGTGATTATAATGGTAATCATTCTGACGCATTGGTGCAGCAGGTAGTTGCTTATGGTAGATGGCGGACTGCAACCTAAGCTGACTGTAATTCACAGGTGCAAAACTGTGAGCAGGTATCAGTCTTCTCAGTGATTTGCAACTTCAAGAGGGGGATCTAGAGGCACAAATCAGGAAACACTGAATTTCATTTTTCCAGCTGGCATGACTTATGACACGGGAGCTTTTGTGAAGCTTATTAAAGGAGAAGGAAGTTCTTGAAGATTAGGCAGGGGTGGGCTGCCCCAACCATCAATCATGCATTCAGAAAGAGGGAACCAATCACACGTTCTAGTAGTTACTCTGTATTTTACTTTTTAAGGTGGTCTCTCACTTCAATATCTTACTGGTTTTTGACTTCAAATATCCTGTCCCATGTGCCTGTGGTGATGGTTTTACTCACTGTTAACAGCTTTTTGGTAAGGGAGGTTCATAATGTATCTAGACATTTTAAACTCATGCTAGTAAAAACTAGATATCATTTTCCAGGGAAATGCAGCAGCTAAGTCCTTGGGTACCCAAATTGAAAAGCCTAGAGATACAATGGTGAGAAGAATGCCTAGTCAGTCATTTCTTAAACGAGACCTAAAGTAACCAACAGTTCTCCGTACCACTCAATTTGGCATACATTTTGCTGTATATATGAATTTTCATATGATTTAAATAAATCATCAGATTATATAAAACAATCTGAGTTGTGTCTTTGCCCTAATAAAGTAAAACTAAATGGATGAACAAGGCTGGCTAAGCACCAGAAGGAATTCAAAAGGATTTGAACTTGGGAAAACAAAAATCCATCCAGATTGTTCTGAAACTGTTTTCAGTCATCCCCAACCATAGGGGATCACTTTAGACTAACGAACTGAAGCCCCAGGAAAATATCTGCCAGTGACTACTGGGTACTAGGGATTGGATGGTGTGAGATAGGCAGAATCTTTAGAGGAGAAGAATCTGAATTGCAAGGTGCCTTATAAATGGGGTGCAAGCCTAACACTAGGAATTAGAGTGTGCCCATGAGATGGATTACCATTTTATATAGAAATAGTAACAAGTATAGTAAAATGTTCATTCTTCCCCCTCTCAGATGGTAAGAGATCCCTGGTAGATTTGGGTGGGGCATGGTATTCAGAGAAGGAAGAACAGATGGAAAACCCTGGAACAGCATCCCTCTTTGCCACAGAAGCTGGCCTTTGGAATGGGCAAGACAGTTGTTTTGGTTATGCTCTAAATGTGAGCAAATTACACTTTATTTTGTTGGCCTGAAGAAACAGAAAAAATTCAAGACCTCAATATATAAGAAATGTCAAATAGCTTTTGAAAAACAGAATTAAGAGATAAGTTTATTTTGGTAGAAAACAGTTTTGAAATCTATGCAGTTGTTTGGGTAATATGCATTTTCATCTTTTTTGGAGACCACTCATATATGAAGATGGAGTTTATATTCTGAAAAATAACATATTTAGAATTAAGATAGAACAAACTGGGGCTGGCACCATGGCGCAGTAGGTTAATCTTCCACCTGTGGTGCTGGCATCCCTTAAGGGTGCCGGTTCTAGTCCCAGCTGCTCCACTTTCAATCCAGCTCTCTGCTGTGGCCTGGGAAAGCAGTGGAAAATGGCCCAAGTACTTGGGCCCCTGCACCCACATGGGATACCAGGAAGAAGCGCCTGCCTCTTGGCTTTGGATCAGAGCAGCTCTGGCCATTGCAGCTACTGGGGAGTGAACCAATGGAAGGAAGACCTCTCTCTGTCTCTCCCTCTCACTGTCTGTGACTCCACCTTTCCAATAAATAAATAAAATATTTTTTTAAAAAAAGGTTAAAAAAAGATAGAACAAGCATCTATTATGAAGAAATTTAGACAATTAACACTGAAGGTTTCAGTGCCAAACCAAGTGCAGATACTGTCTGATAAGATACTGTCTGATAAGATACTGTCTGATATGGTGACTGTGAGATGATCAAAGTTGACAGTTGTGTTAACTGAATTGTGACCCCCTAAGCACCAAAAACATCCATATATTGAAGTTCTAATCCCCAACATGATGGTATTGGGAAGAGAGTCTTTGGAAGATAATTAGGTTTACATGAAGTAATGGGGATGGGAGCCTCATGGTATGATATAAGAAGACCTCTCTCTCTCTGTCTCTCTCTCTCTCTCTCATCCCCTTTCTTCCTAATTTTTGAAAACACAGGAAGGAGGTGTCAGTCTACCTGCCACATAGAGAGTCTTCCCCAGAAGAGGATCATGCTTGCACCTGGTTTCTAGCCTCAAGAACTGTGAGAAAAGTAATTTGCTTCTCAAAAAATTTTAATTATTTGAGAGACAGAAAGAGGGAGAAGAGAGAGACAGGCAAACAGGGTAACCAAAAGTTCTCATCTACTTGTTCATTCCCTAAATGTTCACAGTGGCCAACACTGGGTCTGATTGAAGCTGGTAGTTGGTAACTCAGTTCAGCTCTCCCAAGAGGGTGTCAAGAATCTAATTATTTGAGACATCGCCTCTGCCTTTCCGAGTCTGTGCTGGTAGAATTCTATAATGAGGATCCAGAACCGGGAATTGAACCCCAGGACTATGATATGGGATGTGGATGTCTTAACTGCCAGGTTAAACACCCACTCCAGAAAAGAAATTTCTATTGTTTAAGCCACCTGTGTACTTTTTTATAGCAGCCTGAGCTACTGGAGAGAACAGTATATTTATTGAGCCCTATGTGAGTGCTTTTTACAACTGAATAATGAGCTCCCACTTTAATTTTATCCTTTGGCACTGGTGCACTTTAAATAGCTTTGCTATTTTAGGAATTAAACAAGCCTTTCTCAGCCTTTTAAATTCCTCCTGCCTCCTGTCCCATCCCTCCTCACTTCTGGAAACACGTCACAGAGTGCAAATTCGGGCTACATAGAGAGATGCTCATCCCAGACACCTGCCTGGGAATACCCTTCCACCCCACTGCCTGTCTTTTAAGTTCTCAGTCTGACTCTCCAGTCTCTAACTTGTGCCAAAGCACTTATTCCTGAAATCTGACCCGTGTGCTGTCTGGCTGTTGTTGTCTGATTTGGCAGACTTACTCTCTGCTCCACCTCCTTCTGTGGGTCCACTAGCTGAAGTAATTTACCAGCCAGCTTTGCCCAGGGCATCCCTTACTATCTGGGCAAACGTACTCCTCTTCCCTTCCCTATCTGTTGAAAAGAGCCTAGTGCAGGCAGATTCATGCAATTCAAGCATTGTTTTCTTGGTGTTAATTCAAAGATGAAATGAGGGCATGAGGATTATTAGAGAATACAGTGTTTTGTAAATTAGAGATGTTACATTTCTTCAATACGGGGTGGGGGGCACTTTTCTCCGGACAGTATCTGTTTTTTCATTCCACAGTCCCATGTAACCTCATAGTTCTCTCTCTGGAAAATCAGAGGAGGAAACAACTGGTTTTCTAATAAGCTGTTTTCTTTTTTTTTTCTATCCATTTGCCATGTATCATCTAGTTTTACCTTGGCACAAGTATTAAGTAAATAGTTTATGGGGCAATGAAAATGTGTTTCAACCATTTTATATGCTTTTTAAAACGTTTATCTATAGGATGAACAGTTTGGAATTTTAGGCAGCATTGCCCCGTAATTTATTCTAATTTAACCTCACTGTAAGGAATTAAAATTAAAGGAGGCTCCATTTTAAAATGTCATTTCTTTATAAGGTACTTAAAATAGTCATGAGTTACATAGATAGATGCTAAAATACTGCTAATAAAAGACAATAAAAATCGCATTGCAAATTTCAACATTTAACCAAATTCAACCATGATATAAAGGTGATTTTTATCACTCTTTAATGAATTTTAAATGGCTTCTAATAAGCTCAAAGACAGAAGCAGTAATTTCTGCTCGGCTCTAGAACACAAATTTTAATAGTTAAAATAGTTTAATGACAGTAGCACTGAATAAGCAGAAAGTGACATTTTTGAAATGGAATAGCGGAGCACCAAGGTTTTGCATAGCTTTCCCACATGCCCAGATAATCTCTCTTTCGAAGTTAATTTGGGAAATTCACCATGTCTTTGTCAATCTGTCCTTCAGAGACTAATTGCTTTCTTATCTAAACAAAAGTATAAGGTAAAAGTATGCTTTTGTATCTGCTGGCGTTCTGGACTCAGAATTGAAAAAAGATCCACAGCACAGCACAGCGTTTCTACTCCTGAAGACTCTGGCAAAAGAATCCCAGAATTCCGAAGCTCCTGGAAATTACCCAGTTCAAACTCCACAGATGGCGGCACTTCGCAAAGTTCAATGGAAAATGGAAATTAAAAATATTTTGGTAAAAAATACATTGAAATTCATTCATAGTTTTTTCAAAAGACACATTTCAATGAACATTTTGAAGACGTCCCATATGTACAGATATCACATTTTTTGCACAAGATAAACATGTAATTGCATTTTCCACAAACATTTTGAAGTCTCTCATATTATTGATGAAGTAGGAATTCCTTATCAACTACATTTTTTAAACTCAGATCTTCAATTCAATCTTCCACTTTTGAAACAAAGGAAAAAATGGGGGCAGGGAAGCTATACAATTCATTAATCTGCATTTGATAAAAAATAGCATTTTAAAGCTCTTCACCAATTCTATGCTAGGAGACTATAATTCTGTATGCCTTCTTACAGAGGCATATTTGAATAAGCAATTCAACCTGAAAAGTCTGAGTTGAGTTCACTGAAAGGAAGCAATGTCCATGCCTCCTGATATTGGAATTGGCTGTTCTGGAGGTGAGAGGCACACTTCCCACTGTCAGCAGAATAGTGCTCCAGTAACTCTTTTTTTTTTTTTTTTTTTTTTTTTTTTTTTTTTTTGACAGGCAGAGTGGACAGTGAGAGAGAGAGACAGAGAGAAAGGTCTTCCTTTGCCGTTGGTTCACCCTCCAATGGCTGCCGCGGCCGGCGCGCTGCGGCCGGCGCACCACGCTGATCCGATGGCAGGAGCCAGGAGCCAGGTGCTTTTCCTGGTCTCCCATGGGGTGCAGGGCCCAAGCACCTGGGCCATCCTCCACTGCACTCCCTGGCCACAGCAGAGGGCTGGCCTGGAAGAGGGGCAACCGGGACAGAATCCGGCGCCCCGACCGGGACTAGAACCCGGTGTGCCGGCGCCGCTAGGCGGAGGATTAGCCTAGTGAGCCGCGGCGCCGGCCCTCCAGTAACTCTTTTTACACAACTCACAACCCATGGCTTTGAGGAATATTTTTATCTTCCGAAGTCAAAACCACTCAATACTATCCACAAAACTGTGGGATTTTTTTGTCTGTGCTTTGTTTTTATTAAGGTGTTAAGGGACAGCAGTTGTAAATGCTGTCAGTGTGATTACAGTAGGAACAGGAATGTGTGATACTGTACAAAAAGGACTGGGATGTGAGTTACAGGAACTGTGTTGTTATGCTGGTTCTGGTGACAATGAAAACAGCATTCAGATCAATGTTTGGGTTGAACAAAATTGTAAGGCAGGGATTGGTTCTTGAAGTTGAGCGGGACTGAAAGAGAGCTGACTCAAACTAGAAAACATGCCTCTAATCCCCAGTGAAGATGCATAATGTTGGGCATGTAACTTTAAGGTGCATTTTTATTTACACTCACTTCATATATATATATTTATTTATTTATACTCACTTCATATAATATATATATACATATATATAAGACTTCCATCACAATAACTGTTCTTTGTATTACTCACCTCAACTCACTAGCTATAAAATAAAACTGGACTCTATAATCTATATTTTAAAAAGTGAATTAAAATAGATTAGAAAATGTAAATACGTTTCATGTAATAAGGATAAATATTATTTCTTTAAAAATATCTATTGATAAGCATGTAGAAATTCCCTAGGTCACACATATTTATCATTGGTTATGATAAGGAATGTCTGAACAATCCTAAAACCAAAACTCTTGATTAACAGTCTCCAGCAATGACTCCATCAGTGCCTTCCCTCCCTATGTGCACATACATTTCCATCAATAAGACCTGCAGTCTGTATCTTCTTCCCTTGAATCTGCCAGCTTACATCTTCTCATTAAGGAAGTCAGCTGCCAAGTAAGAAGTCTGACCCCCCAGATCACCATGCTGTGGGGACGACCAAGAAATCATGGTAAAAAGAACCAAGAAAGAGAACCATTAATGAAAATGAAGCAGCTGTCATATGACCCCAGAACAGCTATCCCAATTGTCTCCCTAGTAGATTAAGCCATCTAGATGGGATAGAAGACGTTTTGGAAATGTGACAAGCCATCCCCACTCTGTCTTGTTGAGTTCCTGACCCACAGAATCCTAAGCAGCTGTTTTTTTTTTTTTAAATGTCTTAAATTTTGAAGTAGTTCATTATGTCGTTTTTATACACCTGGAACTGACACCAGAAATGGGTGTTGCTATAACAAAAATCTGAAACTTAGCATCAGCTTTGAGGCTTGGTGGCAGCAGAGGCATGAATGGCAGTGAGAAGACTATAAGGATTCTGAGATACGGGTGAGGAATTTACTCTGGCTGGAAAAGGGAGAGCCGGGTTATAGACTGGGGGGACATCGGTAAGTCTGCTGCCTGTGTTAATGTAGAAAATATGAAATATGCCTCATATAAATTGTAACCTAAGGAGATTTCTGGAAAAATGTAAATGTGTGAGTTGATTTATTTTTATTATGTGTGATAAAGGGTCACAAGAGATAAGAGATGTCAAGGATAGAATCTCTCTCTTCTCAAGAAGCAATGAAAAGTGCAGCTCCAATTCAGTATTTGTCACGAAGCATTCTCTGGGAAGCAAAAGGTTTCAGAGTGAAACAATCTCAGGGCAAAGTCAAATGCAGAGCTCTGCCTGTGACCTGTGGCCTTGGGAGAAAGTCAGATGAAGGGTGTGGCTAGAAGGCTCTCTGTGGAAAACAGGCTTACGTTTCAGTGAACTCAAGAGCTCTTAAGAATGTTATGGGCTGTCCCTCAATATTCCTCAATACCCTGAAGATAAGCCAAAGTAGAAAGGGATTTGTCTCAAAGCAAATTGTGGTTCTGTCTTTAATCTAATGAAATAGAGTCTAATTTGCTTCATTGAAAGCTCACAAAGCTTTTAAAGGAGGCTTCCGACTTTGATGAAATGGTACTGTGACAGTTCAAAATACAGATTAAAGTAGAAGTTTTAAAAATGCTTATTTATTTTTCATTTCACTTGAAAGGGAGAGAAAAATCAGGACTGGGCCAAGTTGAAGCCAGGAGCCTGGATCTCTCATGAAGTTGATAGGGATCTAAGTATTTGAACTATCAGCAGGGTGCTCATTAGCAGGAAGCTGGATTGAAAACAGAGTGGGCAGCACTCTGATATGGGATGTGGTATCCCTAGGGTGACTTAACTGTGCTACCATATGTCCACAGGTGGAAAACAGATGCAAGAGCCCAGAAAGCAAAATCAAGATCCAGAGGAGCAGAATGGAGCCTTATCAGCTCATCATTTCTACTCTCCGAGCAAAGAATCAATAGACCTCACGTGTCTAACTGGACTTCTGGATTGCTATGGGCCAGTGTCTTCTAAGAGTATGTGCCTCCCTCTGCACACTCTGCAGTCCCTACTTTGTTGAATAAGATTGTTCAATGCAGTTGTCTTGTTCCTGACCCATTGTTATATGTCACATTGTGTAGTGCAGATAAGTTGTACTTTTTGTTCCAAGCCCTTACACATAAAAAAATTTCAGCCAAAGATCTTGCATACGAAACTGCATAAGAATCCTCATTAATTTGGACATGATTTAGATGATGAAGTCCTGGATTTCAAAGTGATGTAGTACAATAACACTTTGGGCAAGATAGAGTATATTTTGCCTAATGAAATATTGTGGCTAGAAGACAAACTGTGGTGTTGATCTTTGAATATAACCACCCTCAATTCCTTCCCTCCTTCTCTGCATTTCACCTATCAATAGGTGGAGTCTATTCCCCTCTCCCTGGATCTTGGTTGATGTTTTGACTTGCAGAAGTGACATGGCAGAAGAGACATTCTGAATCTTGAACTTAAGAAGACAGACAGCTTTCATTTCTTCCATCTTTGAAGCCAATTACCATTTAAGACCTTTTTGATCAACAGCTATGAAGAAGTCAACCTAGTTATGTGAAAAGTCGATGTGGATAAGAAAGGTGGCCTAGACGTACAAGTGAAGCATTCTTTGATTTCCAATCTATCCCACCAGCCATTGAGTCCAGTCACATGAGAGACCCTAACCATTATCACATAGAGCAGAGGAACCACCCATAGAGCACAGGTCAACACATGGAATAATAACAAATAATAAATTGTTATTTTAAGCCATGGCATTTTGGGTTGGTTTATTACATAGCAAAAGATAACTGAAAAATTCAAAAATTAATTTCCTGTGCATGTGGATATCTCATAAAAATATGTTATTGTCATTTTCATAGAACTAAGATACAAATTGTACCCTGGGGATACAAAAAGCATCCTTCCAGAATATAGAAATTAAGGAAGTAAGACTCCCTCTGAGTATTATAAAATCATCACCGGATGATTCATAGAAGAGATATTAAAAGTTATTACATACTTTCTGGTCAAAAAGATTGGATTGAAATGAGGGTGAAAGTATTAACACAAATCAAAGAACAACCAGAATGGAGTTTGCCACCCACTGGGCTGGTGAAACCAGGAGCCTCATAGAGCAAAGCTTGGTGGCTCCCCACGGTAGTCCCCAGGGGATCTTGTCCCCTGTTGCAGCTCTGTTGATGGAAACAGGCCCAGCATGCAAATGGTGCCTGAAGCTACTACATATGTGATTTTTATGAGTCACTCTTTTTCTAACTTCAGACTCAAGAAGAACTCTTCTAGTAATTTTAATTTGCAAAGTGTTATGCATATGTTACTCATTAGGAACCAGCAAGATGGGGTAGGCATTTGGTGCAGTGATTAAGATGCTACTTGCTGTGCTTGTAGCCCACAACCAAGTCCCTGGGTCTGAGACCTAGCTCTGCTTTTAGTCCCAGGCTCTGCTCCTGATTTCACCTTTCTGTTAATGTACACCCCGGGAGGAAGCGTGTGTTAGATCAAACAGTTGGGTCACTGCCACCCACCTCTTGAGACCTAGGTCCTCCAGGATCCAGGTTTTTGCCTGGCTTAGCCCTGGCTATTTTGGATATTTGGTAGTGAACCAGATGATAGGAGATTCTGTCACTCTCTGATGTAAAAAGAAGATAAACTCATTTTAAGAAAATAATAAATGAAATGGAATTCTGGTTTCATATATCCCTCTCTTTTGAGTTTGGTAGCTATGACATCTTGATTATTTTCTGTTGAGGAACCAGTTAGATATTTTGTGAGCTTCCAGATTGAGGCCAGTTCTGTGGGTGAGTTTGCCACACCCTTTTGGGAATATCTATCTAGGTAGACAGTCAACATTCCTAAGGAGATAACCAGTGTGTATCATAAGTTTTTTAGTTTGATGTTTCCATCCTAGGGCAGTATACACATCCCTCTCCTGCCCTAGACTGGGAAGCCTGTTGGAGTTCACTTATGAAAAATAGAAATAGCAGCTTCCCAGCAGGCATTGCTGTGGCTATTGCACTTCAGGCTCTCAGATTCCAAGTACCATTACATAGGTCTGGAATGAGTAGAGAAAATAACTGAGGGCCGGTGCTGTGGCGTAGCGGGTGAAGCCGCTGCTTGCAGTGCCAACATCCCATATGGGTGCCTTTTCAAGTCCCGGCTGCTCCACTTCCGATTCAACTCTCTGCTGTGGCCTGGGAAATCAGTAGAAGATGGTCCAAGTCCTTGGGCCCCTGCACCCACATGGGAGACCCAGAAAAAGTTCCTGGCTCCTGGCTTCGGATCAGTGTGTCTCCGGCTGTTGTGGCCAATTGGGGAGTGAACCAGCAGATGGAAAACCTCTCTCTCTCTCTCTCTCTCTCTCTCTCTCTCTTTCTCTCTGCCTCTCCTTCTCTCTCTGTGTAACTCTGACTTTCAAATAAATAAATAAATCTTAAAAAAAAAGAAAAGGACTGAAGGACATGCATCCCACAGAGAGAAGAGCTCTTCTGCAAGGATAATCCTAGTTGCTAAAACATTGGGTTCCATAACCTGATAGAAATGAAAAGCAGAACCTAAAATGGTAGAAAGAAGGCAAAGTATAGTGAGATGAAACAGGATTTGCCTTCACACAGATCTGAGTTTCAATATTCTCATGGGATATACTAAAGTGATCTTAACCCATTACTTAATTTTGAGTTTTTTAATCTATAAGCCAGACATAATTATTGGGCTGATTGTGAGGGTCAAATGGGACAATGAACATGTTCATTTAAATGCTTAGAAGAATGCCTAAAATCTGGAGGAGCCTCAATAAACCAAGAAGTTTATTCCTGTCCTCAGGAATACTTGTGTCCCCTATATGCAACTTCTTTTGTGGCTATTCAGATATCATCACAAAGAGCAGGTGTTTTATCTAGTAGTTAAAACACTTACATCCCATATTAGAGTACCTGGGTTCAGTTTCTGGCTTTGGCTCCTGATTATGGCTGCCTGTTATTGTAAATACTCAGAGGCAGCAATTATGACTAAAGTTATTGGGTTCCTGTCACCCATAAGGAAGGACTGGGTTGTGTTCATGGTTCCTGGCTATAGCTCCAATCTTGCGCCAGCTATTACAAGAATTGGGAAAGTAAATTTGCAGATGGGAACTCTCTCTCTCTCTCTACTTTATTATTAATTAATTACATTTTTTAAAATAATCACAAATGTCACCTCTTCATAAAGTCTTACACAACCAACTAATCAGACTTACCATTGTTGGATAATTCTCTTGCTTTCTTCTTGATTGGAATATGTGAGCTTATATATGCCTGTTTGTGTAGGCTTTCCTTTTCCTGCTTGGCTACAACCTCCTTGAGAATAGTAGTCCCCTGTTGACATTAATCTGTATTGAATCATTAAGATAAAGTGACTAGAATATCATAGGTTTTTGGAAAATATTTGTCCACTGTTGAGTGAGTGGTAGATGTTTGAAATTCTTGGAGTCAGCCCTCAGAGTTTTGGTTATTCTCCAATGACCCTAGAAAGCTATGAGTAACCCTATAGGCATTACTCGATGTTACCAAGATAGGGTAGTACCAGGGGAAAAAGAAATGAGCAAGAGAGGGGTCAGTGAAGGGATACTCAACATTGCCCATGTGGAAAAAGTGAAGTCAGTTAAATATTTTATTTGCCCAAAAGGACGGCCAGAAAAATTAGCTGTGAAATCTTTCACTTCCCTTATGCACTATGAAGAGATCAAAGAGGAGCACAAAGGAGCCGGCAGAGGGAAATCACAGGTTATATCCTCAAGCATAAAACATTTAAGGCCTCATGATTTTGCAAGCATTGCTCCAGACTACAAATATGAATTTAAGCCAATAATTACTTGAAAATACCCTTTTTTGTACTGACACAATGTTTAATACAATAAGGCCATCTGAAACAATGTTACCAATGTGGGAAATATGAAATAAAAATACTCAGACTCCTTTATTCACTCTTCTTATCCTTCCTGTGTGTGAACGTGATGTTGTACTTGGATGTCTCTACAGTGTAAATAGGTAATGTGATGGGGTGAATGCCATAACCAGTGTGATTGTTATTTCTCTGATATCAAGCCAGATGGCCAATACTAAGGACACTGCACTTCTATCCTTTTTTACCTATGCATTTGTTATGGTTTCAGTATTGGCTATCTTCCAAAGTCCCATATGTTAAAGGTTTGATCCCCAACATGGCACTATTGAGAAATGATGTAATCTTTATGAGGTAGAAGCTGGCCGAGAGTCATTGGATCATCCAGCACTTGCCATTAGAATGTAATTCTCAACTGCTGGTTGTTACAAATTCTCACCACAAGGTTGAGTTTGAGCTCATCCACTCTCTCTGCTTCCTGGCTCATGATGTGATTGCACATTCTAACATGCACTCACACTATCGTTCCCCTGCCCCCATCAGATGCATTAAGCAATGAGGTTCCCAATTTTGGACCTCAGTGTCCAAAACTATAACTAAATAAACTTCTCTTTGTTTTTAAAGTAGCTTAGCTCATGTATTTCATTGTAGTAACACAAAGCTTACTAACCTATTATTCTTCATAAACTCTACTCTGACTAGGCCAGACTAATATTGTTCCCCACACTTCCCGAATATGTACATGTTGAGACGCTGTAGAGATATTTTTCCACCTGTCTTCCACCATCTTACCAAAATAAAACCTTTCCTAGCCTTTAATGCCCAACCTCTTTCTAAAGGCCATGAACTAGGGCTGGCACTGTGGCATAGCGGGTATGCCGCTGCCTGCAGTGCCGGCATCCCATATCAGCGATGATTCGAGTCCCAGCAGCTCCACTTATGATCTAGCTCTCTGCTATGGCCTGGGAAAGTAGTAGAAGATGGCCCAAATCCTTGGGCCCCTGCCCTCACGTGGGAGACCCAAAAGAAGCTCCTGGCTCCTAGCTTAGGATTGGCACGGCTACAGCCATTGTGGCTAGCTGGGGAGTGAACCATTGGATGGAAGATCCCTCTCTCTCTCTTTTTCTCTCTCTCTCTCTCTCTCTCTCTCTGCCTCTCCTTCTCTGTAACTCCAACTTTCAAATAAATAAATAAATCTTTAAAGGCCATGAGCTGCCCCAAGGTAGAATCAACTCTTCTTTTTAGGAGTTCCTACAAACTTGATTCTGGGAGTTGTTCTCAATAGGCAATCATTCAATTGTGGAATTCGGTTATAAATAATTAATTCAAACCATAAGTTAGTTTACATTAGTTCATTTGGAGTTAAGACTTAATAGTGTGTAGTATGTTAAGATTAAGTGATATGAAGGCTGGCGCCGCAGCTCACTAGGCTAATCCTCTGCCTTGCGGCGCTGGCACACCAGGTTCTAGTGCCGGTTGGGGCGCTGGATTCTGTCCCAGTTGCCCCTCTTCCAGGCCATCTCTCTGCTGTGGCCAGGGAGTGCAGTGGAGGATGGCCCAAGTGCTTGGGCTCTGCACCCCATGGAGGACCAGGATAAGTACCTGGCTCCTGCCATCAGATCAGCGTGGTGCGCTGGCTGCAGCGCGCAGGCCACGGCGGCCATTGGAGGGTGAACCAATGGCAAAGGATGATCTTTCTCTCTGTCTCTCTCTCTCACTGTCCACTCTGCCCGTCAAAAAAAAAAAAAAAAAAAGATTAAGTGATATGAAATATGGGGCAACATATTAAAAGTTTGGTCTTAGGAGCTTTTAGGACCTGTCGTGAGAACCACCGTTCTTCCATGACAGGCTTTATTTTAAGCCAGAAAAGACAGGTCTAAGG